AGCTTCATAATAAATTATTATTCAGATAATTTAATGAAGAACCATCCTGGGTAGTAGAAACATTTTGTATTTGTATAACCCGTGACTAATTCTAAAATATCATCACTATTTGGAGATAAATGATTTTCACTTTATTAGAACTTGTGGTGAAATTTACATACATTAGGTACATACAATACTTGTACTTTCTACAGATACATGGTTTTAATGCCATTCATACTTTCACTCCAGCAACCAAAAATGTACATTTAACACCAAAACATTTATTCCAAAACTCCAGCTACTTTTCAGGTTAAGATTTTACAGACAAAAGATATAATCAGGTCGTAAAATATGATGCATTGTTATAGATTTAACTACCAAACGAGCTCCACCTCAACCAACTACAATACACTTAAATGTTACTGATACTTAAGATCACGATATAAAGTCGGTCATTCTGCATAACGAGTACTTTTACACTTCAAACTTTAAGGACATTTTGATGAAATGCTTCTTTACTTTTCCTTGTGTTGTAGTATTTGTTAAGTGTGGTACTACCACTTTTACATAAGTCAATTATTGAAATGCTTCTTCCTCTATGTCCTTTTTATTTAATTTCCTTTCACACCATTCTAATGTTTTCTCTTCCTTCTGACCTTCTGCAAATCAAATGAAGCCTCGTTTAGCGCTCAGAGGGTCACAGTGAACATATTCTCCCTGCTGTCTGGGTTTCAGTGGGAAATTAAATTAAACCATGTCGTCCTTTTAATTCACGACCTTTTTTTGCATTTTTGGAAAGAAGTGACGGCTTAATCTAATGTGACGGTCAAATTAATTTTATTTCGACGACAGAAGTTCAAACTCAAGGTTTCATTTGGAAATCAAAACCATATCGTTCTTCTAACTCACGGCTTCCTAATGTAGAACTTTGATCCTCAGAAGCTTAATCTGACGGTTAAATTGGTTTTAGTTCAGTGAAAGACGTTCAAACTGACATTCGGCTCTCTAGGTTAAAGTCATAAATCAAATAAAACCACGTTGCCCTTCTAATGTAGAAATGTACTTCTCAGACCTGATATCATCTGCTCCGCTGTAATGGTATTAGTTTAGTTTGTTTCTGTTCATAATCTATTCATAACAACTTTGCCATACAGTTATAAAAGTGTAAATAGAAGAAAATCATATCAAGGAGGAGTATTTTTTATTTGAAAAAGGTCACGAAGCTCTTTGAAGGTTTGGATAACAGAGTTAAATTTGTCCAAATAAGTGTTTCATATTTCTAAATAGTTTTCTTAATTTCTGACGACTTTATAAACCATATTATTTGTTGGTGTTTCTTGGGTTAGTGCGATCGCAAGATAATGTCACACAAAGCGGGGTGAACATCTGATTCCACATCTGCAGCTGCAGACACAAACACACACAGATCCACTCTGACCCCCCCTGGAGGAAGATCAAAAGCCAGCTGGTCAAAAAAACCACCTTGGAGCTCCAAACACCTAAGGACTCAGAGTCTCCTCTGCCCGGATGGGACGTGACCCATGAAGAGGGAAAAGGATGAAGAGCCAGATGTTTGAGGGGCGCTACGCTTCAGGAAAAAAAAGGCTGAAGTGAGCCCGAGGGTGCGAGTGAGTGATGGGCGGAGTGACGTCTCAGTATGCAGAGGGATAAGAGCCACATGTGAGCCTCTTGTCAGCATGCAGGAGCTTGCCCCCCCCCTCCCCCCTGACAGATGCACCAGTGACATCTCCTAAAGGCTGAGAGGCGGCTCAGTGAGAGGTTTTATTTCACACAGCTCCTCAGTATTAGTCTGAGGGGGGAGCTTGTTGAACCCTACCGAGGCTCAAAGTCTCTCGGTTTGCTGAGCCGGTCTCTCTCAAAATTGGAGGAAATGTAAATGACACACACACACACACACACACACACACACACACACAAAAAGTCAGCGCTTAATAAAACTGATGAACAGTGTAATAAAATGTCATGTGGGATCAGTCATCATCATCATTATGAGGGTGAAGAAGAAGCTGTTATTCTGTATTATTTATTTTATGCATTGTAATAAATCCATACTGCTTTAAAAAGAATGCACCCAGAGCGTGACTGTGCATACATTTGGCCTGTTTAATGTGAACAGGTGTACGAGGACCGAAACTGGATTTCTTTTTTTTGTCTTCTCGCTGGAATATTCCAATTAATTTCAATTTCAACTGGCAGCACTTGACCTCCAAGACAATAGACTTTTTTTTTTTTTTCTATTTTATTGAGACAGATTGGCCAAGAGTGTTGCTGCCATCTACAGACTCGTGATTACATTCCTCCTCCTCCTCCTCCTCCGTAAACAGCCGAGGCCTCGAGACAAAAGGCTCGAGATGTGTCCGTGTCTGCATGACGTTCATACGTGCAGCTCAACATTGCAGAGCAGATTATGTTCAGACCTCCTGTTTGGACCTGGAGACGGCTGAAGAGTGACAGCGCTGAAGGTTCAGAGAGCTCGTAAAATATCCTGACTACAGAAATCACCTGATTCTGATGCCGACACACAGTCCAAAACATGTGACCTCAGACAATGCAGTGTCTATTTGCAGCCGCTTGTCAAAGGTTGCATATCTCTTCCCAGTGAGGCCAGTTAGCTAACGAGTCATTTCAGATTGATTTATTCCCATTTGTAGGTGTGTGAGGAAGCAAAAATCTGTCTGTATTCTTGACTAACCTTCACCTGAACCCAGTGACGACAGCAACGGTTTCAGCTCTTGACAAATGCTGTGAAACCAAATCAGACATGACGAAATTCTCCATCAGGGGAAAAGAGATTTCCCCAGTCGACTGATTTGAAAATAATGCAAGCTAAACCTAAAATAAGACTCACAGAGAGGTTTCAGCACCCTTGGGCTCCCCTGCCTTTGGGTGACCCTGGGTATGAATGCCTGCATGTTCCTCCAGACTCCCAGTCACAGAATTCACCTTCCAGGAAAAAACAAAAGAAAAGGTGGACGGAGAAGAGGCCTCCCATTGGACTGAAAAGGACATACGTCTCTGCTGGATGGCTCAACAGGTCGAGGTGCAGCGGGTGACATGTCCGCCGAACGGACGCCCGAGTAGGCTATAGGGTGAGATATTTTGGAACTGTCATGCGCCGACGTTGATCAACTCACCCCTTTTGTGTTTGCCTGCGAGCAACGGGGCGGCGAGGCCCGGCAGGGAGGAGGGAGATTTATTAGGCTTTTCATCAGCGGAGAGCAACACAATTGGTCGTTCGAAGGCTCGTCGCGCTTTCCTGTCGTCTATTTAAAAGTCAAACTCGAGGCCGTGTCAAGAGCAGGACGGACGACTTTGCATTCCACAGATGTCTGCTCCTTGGAAACAGCCATGTGCTGAACTACTTTCACTCCGATGGAAACGTTAACTGCTGAACCCCCCCCCGTGCACAAACATGTGAGCACTTCATTATTTAACCCTTTTTATATGTTTGTGCGGAATAAAGAGCAGATGAATTCTTGAGTTATGTCCAGAAGAGTGGATGTCACAGCGACCTTTGACCACCAAACTCTAATCAGGTCAACCTGGACGTTTGTGCCAAATATGAAGAAACCCCCTCCAGATATCGGGCTCACAGATTTTTTTCCGGGATGACTCAGCAGTCACCAGGTGTGCTGTGAGAGCACCTTCAAAAAAAAACATAGAGATTTCTGTTGCTTCATTTCCCCGTGTGTGTGTGTGGGGGGGGGGGGGGGGGGGGGGGATGACATGTTTCTACTCTGCCTTAATCTTCAGCAATGGGAGAAATGGCTAAACCTCGCCTCGTCAGTGGTCTCGGGCGGAAACCAATTAGAAGCCCGTATAGCTGCGAGCTGACCAGTTGATTATCTTCCGGCTCGTTCGCATAGCACACTTAGTGGGTTAATCCTCAACAGCCTCTGGGTGTTTTTGCACACACTCTCACCAGCTGTTTTCACCAGTGTGGTGGTGGTGGAAGCCTTGGCGGGTGCTGCCTCCCTGCGTTTGCACACAGGAACTGCTGCTGTAACGACACCGATGCACAGTCACTCAACAACAACACGAGCTGGCAGAACACCTCCCATTGCAGACCGTGTATAGCCGTCATGGTATATACAGGTAATGCACTCCGGCAAAGCAGCCGTCAGGACTGTGGCTCGCATCCCAGATCGCCACAGTACAGCAACATTAGGGAATTGACTTTGGGTTAATACACTAATGCACCTGTAAGCTGGCGCCCCATTGTGTCAGGGCCACTGGCTACGGGACACGTGGTTTTCATCTTTACACAATAATGTTATTTTTTGGGCCGTTTTTTGAGGGGGATGACACGACCCGATAACTGTGAGGTGAAGGACATTCAGTGCAGTGAAGTTATGTTTTGGTGTTTTTTTTTTTTTTTACAAATCACTCAGCAGCGTATTGATGGTCAATGTTTTATTCAAACTAAAAACAACTCCGGGATTATCACGAAGACAGAAATACAGCAGGTTAATTCAGTGTTGGCTTTGAGGCACACGGGGAAATATCATTCCTCACCAATGTGTCCGTTAAATACAATAATAAATGTTTGCCCCGTAGAGTAAAGTAAACAAAATCTTCATTCGTGACAACAATCTAAAAAAAGACAGACATCAGTGGACCAATAAGGCTGGAGGAGCTACAGAGAGTTACGGCTGACAACTTTGGCATCAGTGGATAAATCCTTTGTGTATATGTGTATATATATATATATATATATATATATATAAATATAAAGCAAACATGAGGTGCTTTCTTACGAGTAATATTAGTGGCACTGCTTGTTATGAATCATCAACACGATCACTTCACGGGTTAAAATGCTGCCGTTGTGAAAAGGCACTAACTACCTGAAGGTACCTTCACTGAGTACTGAGTACCTCGCTGCATGTCTTTAAGGCGACAGAGTTGATTAAAAATGCGGATATGTCACTACGGAGACACAAAAAAAAGCAAAAGTGTAGAAAATAATCATTTACAAAATATAAAAACAGTTTTAGATGTTTTTTTTTTAAAGGAAGGCCACGATGGAACGAATATTTAAATCGCATGGCTGGCTGGTTAAGGTGGAACGTGAAAGCTGTTGCAGGTTGAAGAAGGCCCCAGAGGTGGAGGCTTGTTGAGCGAGGGAAAGCTGCTGCGACCAGGATTAACATTTTTCTGCAAAGTGCCAGTTTTACTCCGCCGATCTTTACGGCGCTCTCGGGTGCAGCACCTGGTCCGCAAACAGTAAAAAAACAACAAAAAAACGCATCGTGGGAATCGGGAGTGGAAAAAAACTACAATGTCTTTCTTAGTCCCGAGGAGGCTGTGCTACGCTAATTTACACAATCGGTGTTAAAACATTCCCATCGGTTTCTCTCTGAGGCTTCGTCTCTCACAGATGGAGCTGAGTCTGCAGCTTGAGTGCTTAATTGCTTCAAGAAACCTCGTAGTGTTTTATTTTTTCCCAACAAATGAGATCCTCAAGAATATGATCCCTCGCCTAATGTTTCCTTCCCCCTGTGTGTAAAGGCAAAGAAAATAACCTATGGGCTGTTTTGAGTATGACTTGTGGTCCATGAAGTTACCTCCTTCACTCACTCACTCACTCACTCACACACTCACACACTCACACACTCACACACTCACACACTCACACACTCACACACTCACACACACGTTTCTTCTGCTGCTCCTCTTAGTACGGCTCTGCCTTCAGACTTCGATATAGGCAGCATGTGAACACCATCCCTATGACCTGGGGATTGGATGGTGGAGAAGGAGAAACAGAATTTAACACCTCAATGGATATGGAGAGAGAGAGAGATAGAGATAGAGATGGATAGATAGATATATATATATATATACACACACACACGTTTATTTGAATCTCTGCTCACCTGTACACAAGCGATCCCAACACCCACCGCTCCGATGATCTTCAGATGGTCCAGGATGAATTTCTCCAGCTTGGTGATGCAGCCTCCCTGAATGTTAAAAACAAAGACGGTGATGTAGGATGTACGTTTTTGTCTCTTCTGTCTCTGCTGCTCTTAACACCACGCCGTCTCAATGCAGACGAGACAGAAATAAAAGGAACATTCATATCACGGTATTACCCAATTAAAAAGGGATACTCCACTCAAAACATGATTCTACCAAGTTTCACTCTTTTGGTAAAGGTGGTTTTGTGTCTGAACGAGACACCGGTGACGGCGATGAAACCAGAATACCGCCCGACCTCTCACATGAATACCGATCCAGCCGACCCGCACCGAGAAGTCAGCCCCATTTGACGCCCACAGCACCCCCTCAGCCGCTCACCTCCACCTTGTAGATGTTGGACGGGTGGTCCCTGCGGCCGCAGAGATCGGTGCTCGTCTTACAGCAGCTGTCAGGCACCATCCTGCCGTCGGCGTCTCTGGAGTGGATCCAGACGCTCTCGGCCCAGTCCGACGAGCTGTTGCTGCCGCAGCACTTGAACTGAGACAGGGAGACAGAGGGAGACACGTTTCACATCTCTAGAGGGGGAGCTTTTGAAGAAGTGAAATAGTAAACATCAGAAGTTGGACGAAAGACTTTAAGCAAAGACAAACATTGGTTTTCTTACCAATAGTTGTATGAGGAGACGGATACTACTCTGATATCTGTGCAGCAAATATGAAGCTACAGGGACCGGTTGGTTAGCTTAGCTTAGCATAAAGACTGGAAACAAGGGGAAACAGCTGGCTGGGACTATTTATTGGGGCGGGAACGTCCTGGAGTCTCCGTTGGCTGACTGACAAGTACTCCCGATCATAAAATACTGCAGCACACAACCACAGTGGTTTTTATTTTTTGTGTGTGGAGTGAACAGAGGAGATGTTAAGTAGTGAGCTTTAGAGGTGCTGGAAGGTGGATTTTATGTGTGAATGTGAAGGTTTAAAGGAAAGAACAAAGAATAAATGGTGATGTCAGACATCCTGAGGACTCTTATAGTTAAATAACTGAGCGTAAAAAAGAAAAAACAGCACTCCTAAAGATGTCATTTTAAAGTTTCAGGTAAAAGATAAGATTAACGTCGGCCTTCACAAGTTGGTAGATGTTTCCAGTAGAGTGGGAATCACCAGATATTTAATATTATCAGGATACGTAATCTTGTTTTTCGATTTTAAACATTTTGCAATGTGCTGAGTATACTGCAAATTATGCCGTTAGTCAACATCTGTTTTATCGAATAAGAGAACGTTTTAATCATGTGACTAGAACTCCATTAACTTTGTAGACTCATGATCCTTCTTTGAAGAAGTTATAATGTATATGGTCTGTACTGATACATATCTGTACAGACCATGTCTGTACTTTGGATCTGACTCCACTGATTTAACTGGATGTTTTATTCACATAGTGTATGTTTTGTCTTTTCTGTAGACCGCTCTGTCCGGAGGACTAGCGGCGCCGGCTAACGGGGATCCAGTTCAGAAACACAGAAAATCAACTTGGGTTTGTCGGCCAAGCAGACAGACTGACCGACACGCGTCATAAAAACCATAAATGTTGCATCATGCACCTGACAAATTGGACTGTTTGTATGATCGTCTACATCGTCGAAAAACATAAAAAAAAGCTATTGTTGTGCAAAAGGTTTCATTTGTATTCGCAATATCAATAGTTTACGCAATAAAAGATCAATACTTGGCCTCAATTTCTTCCCCCACCCCTTGTATGCATCCATCTAGCCATCCATCCATCTATCCATCCATCCATCCTGGTGTCTTACCTCCTGCTGCAGCTTGTCCACAGCCCTGGTGACGTGCTCGTGGCTGCTCTGTTTGTACTTCTGGGTCATGGTCTCTCTCAGGTTCTGCTTCAGCTCCTCATTCAACTGTTGGGATGCACAAACACACACACACACACATATATATGCATGTATATATACACACATCTCGGGCCAGCACAGAGCACGACCCGGTGATAAACATCTGTTGTAGTTGTTGACTCGGCTCCTGAGTCAGAACGTAAACGCTCCTGCTGGACGGCAGGTTCAAACAAACAGAGCAGCACATGAAGGCGAAGACAGAGGAAGTCTGCGTTTTAGGTTTCTCTTTTTGTTCTCTAGACCAGAGGCAGAAAAAACGCTTACTGGAGGAGCGGGCTCAGTTTCTATGGCAACAAGCCAGCTGGGAAACCACTGTAAATCAATGCGTGAAGGAGACATCAAGGGAGTGAATGATGAAGAGAGGACGGGTGGGGAGATGAGAGACGGGAGGTGAAGACGAAGGAAACGAGAGAGGTTTTTACCCGTCGACAGTCGGCTTTGGAGGTCGAAAACCAGCAGCTCAAGATTCAAACTGACCTCAGACTTGCAGGTGCTGACGTGTAAATGTGGGCTATCGACAGGTGAGGAAGGCTGTAGCATCCACTGCCGGTGAGAATAACCAGTCTACGCTGTTCAGAACTGGGCTGTAAAACACGCCACATGTCCGGGATACCAATGCAAAAAGCAGTATATCGCCGTTTGTTGCTAAATATCTGAACTAGTGAGCATTTCTACAGGCACGTTCATCTTCACGTGTCTCTTGATCAAATGCCGGACAAAGCTTTGCGTTAAACTCAGGCCACACACAGATAGAACAGATAGAACAGATAGTATTAAACGTAAAACACTCACACGTGGAAAACAGCAACTGTAGAACAAAAAATACAAGAATTACCACCTCGCATTTGTGTTTCTCCAACAAGCAGTCATGTTGCAGTTAAAATCCACATTTGTCCAAGTATGTCATCACATCATCTTATTAGACCTTTGTGGGAAATTGTCATGATTTGCATATGATTTCTTGAGTTATGGCCAAAAAAAACAACGTATTTTGTGAGGTCACAGTGACCGTTGATTCAGTCCAAATTTGAAGAACTTCCCTAAAGGTGCTCCTTCAATATCGCGTTCGCGAGAATAACTGGACAGACGGGCAACCATTAAACTCAACGCCACAGCTAAAAGTCCAGATGTAGCACTCATCGCCTTCACGCGGTGGAAAAACGTTCAGTAGTTTTCAGCCGAGACTCTTTGGTTGCGTCTGGTTGATACGATAAGGAATATAAACATGTCGGTATTTAGAGTATTTACTGGAGATGAAGCACGTAGAGAGAGAGGACGGACTTGTCGGTCATCAGTGAGATTCAGTGGGTTGAGGAAACATCTCGGAGAGAAACGTCACTCTGTTCAGATTCAGATCAACGTTATTATCCCACAATTCATTCATGAAGACACCATCAAGTCCAGAGTAACAAACAATAGCGTAACAACATGCTCATATCGTAGGATACTTGACTCGTCTGTCCTCCACTGTGATTGGACAGCGGGGGAACAACGGGGACGAGCGCAGCGTTTTATCAGAAGTCGGACATTTTTAAACTCTCGGCGACAAAACAAACGCTAAACGTGCAGCACTCAGCGCAGAAGTGACACTTTGCGCCTCGTCACAAGTGTTTTAAGTGACGAGCAGATTCCATGAAATAAAGAAGCAAAACATCAGTTCTCACTGAATATCAGGAGGAACAAAAGAGGAATAATAACGAGAGAGAGAGAGAGAGAGATGAAGAACAGAGGGAGGGAAGAAGAGTGGAATCAGAGATTTACGCTCAACTTAATTAATGCAACAATCCTTTGAAGCAAGTGAAGGAGTCAAGAGGTTGTAGGAAGCAGGAGACAGCCGGGTGTTCAGACGGGTTGTGCGTTATGAATGAGGCGGTTATAATGAAAGCAGAGCACCTCCAGACTGAGAGGAGTCCTGCTGCTGAGCTACACGACAGCAGCAACGCCATGTTAATATTACTAATATAACATAATAGAGGAACACTGATGGTGGCTTTAAAGGCAGATATATTAACGACAGTATGGATAGATAGATAGATAGATAGATAGATAGATATATCCTTATCATCCATCCCAGCGCTAAAGTGGGTCTAAATGGTTGTGACACAGAGCATTCAGCCTCGTCATGAGGCTTTTTTTATTCCATCTGGACTAAATGCACCGAGAGTAACACGGTCCGTCTGATGTTTGTCTTCTTCGTGGGCCGTTTGATGTTTAATCCTGACAGTCTGATTTAACCGCGCTGGTTTCATCGTGGTTAAAAGTCACAGCGCGTTTTATTACAACTCTTTTGATTAAGTGCTCAGATGAAGAGGCATGTCGAGCGTGCTCTATTGATCTGTTTAGTAGCGAACATAAGAGCTACAACACACAGACGGGTTTCTTTACTTCAGTGACAATAGAGAGGATCAGTTATACAAAAGAAAAATGTATCTCAGAGGACAAACCGTACTCATGAGATTCCCTTTTGTTATGACTACATTATTACTTAAAACAATTCCTCGGCTCATATCTGTCAGACACATACAAACCTTCCCGGGGGGGGGGGGAAAGAGTACCTGCTGATAGTAGATATAAGCCAGGATGCCGGCCAGGATCTCCAACAGGAAGATACACAGCAGCAGGACGAAGTACTGAGGACACAGAACAAGATGGAGACACAGTCAGCGGACGGTAATGTGAGGAAGCAACAGTGAGTGGACTAGTTTTGGAGATATCAGCCTTCTCTCCCGTATAATGGGACCATATGACCAAATAAAATACATTTGTAACTCTTCTTTTCCAGAAATCATGACCCGGTTACTCAAGATAGTCCATCGGCTTAGTTGTGAGCAGTTTCATTGTGTAGTATGTAATAGTATGGAACTGGGACAGAGTGTCATGTAAACTGTCAAATCAATACTTAAACATCGAAATATGCAGAGTTGGCCAACAAATTGTGTAAATACACAATTGTATTTGGGACACTGTTGATTTATAAGAGCACAGAGGGACGTTTATGTAAATATGATGCAATAAAAAATAACTGCAACGCCAAGAACAGACGGAGAAATCTTCAGAAAATGTGTAAAACTCATGCTGGAGTTGTTATAGAATAATTGAACTCTCTCTCACAGCAGCTGCTTCTCTGGTTTCTCCAGAGTTTTTGTAACTTCATCCTCACTACATAATGGAACAACATTTAACTGCAACGAGACACACACACACACACACACACACACACGCACACGCACACGCACACGCACACGCACACGCACACGCACACGCACACGCACACGCACACACACACACACACACACACACCTTTACAATTCCTGAGCGAGTTCAGAGTCACGCTGAAGGTGACTTTAATCAGACAGATACCGGTTGGATGCGTGCAGAGATTTCCTTTAAGAGTCACAAATAAGTCCGGCCGGCTTCTTTATAATCAATGTTTAAATCTAATAATATAGTTTTTATGAACAAGTTGGCTGTGCGTGTACATTGTACGACCACTAGCCTCCGCTAGATGATCTACACACTGTACCTTTAATGAATGAACAGACAAGTTCACTTTCTTTATTTACGTTGCGCTTTAAGAAGTTGAGTTGATTCAAATCATTTTGTTTTGTTAATCTAGAGTTATTTTTTGGTTTATTTCACTTAAACCCCATAAATCTGCTCGATTAGACACAAGATGAAGAACATGTTTTCCTATAATGACCTCGTTTCATGTCGTTGAAGAAGAGTGCGTTTATGTTTTTAAGTGGGAAACGTCAGCTGTAGTTTTATGGACGATTTAAACAAAACTCATAAACAAAAGAATTTGGATGAAGACATTCTGACGAGTGAATGCGACAAGATATCAGTCCAGGAATTTGATCCTCTCTTGATGCACGACACAAAGACAGCACAGCGCACACACACACACACACACACACACACACAGCTCCACTATGTTCTCCATCTTTGGCATTCTCCTGCGATCCCCCCCTCCTCCCTCATGACAAGTTCATTCCTTCTCTGTGATTCATGGCTGTGATCTCAAGTCCTCAAGATGCACCATGAATTCAAAACCACACACACACACACACACACACACACACACACACACACACACACACACACACACACACACACACACAGGTGTGCAAGGATTTTAAACTGAGCATGAACACTTCGCTATAACTTATGTCAACTATCCCACCTTTCAAAAAAAGAAAGATGGACTACAGCTTGTTTGCGATCACGTGACTATTATGTCGCATGAAATTCAGATGGAGGGCAGGAAGTGAAGAACCTAAATACTGCGTGAATGTGAAATAGAGGAAAGTGAATAAATAAAAGGGTCGGTTGAACCTACACGCAGCCGTTAACGGCAGAAAATAGAAACACACATTGGCTGTGATCCTTCACAAAATGATGAAGAGCGATTTTTCCCACAGCTTGACCGATTTGCTCGGTGTGGAGGCGATCGACATCACAAATGACCTCGTCCTCCAGACCTCCGACTATAAGCCAGATGAAGACGTACAAGAGTCTAGAGGCGTACAACTATTTCGTGAGTGGTCGGGTCCACGACCTCGGATCCAAAGTAGCATTGAACCACTGCCGCTAAAAAACACACGTAGATAGCCAACTAGTTTCCAAAAAACTAAATTAAACTCACCAACATGTCTGCCCGCGTAGGTCGGTGACGCACTCAGCTGAATTATCACTAGCGCCCCCTAGTGTCTAGTGTTTTAAGAAGGTTTGAGTCCCCACAGCCACTAGGGCGCCTTGAGCAAGCAGCTGTAACCGGCTACCCATAATACTGTGCAGTTTGCTGCAGCAGAATGAGCGATTAGACAAAAAGAAGATAAAGACAAGCAGATAACAGTGAGACAGACAGAAAGAGGAATGTAGAGAAAACTAAAAGGACAGAGACACACTCGGACTTGTAATGAAGTCACTTTCTCCACAGGTGGATCCAGACTCAGCTAGGACTGCTTTCCATCTGGCTCACATGGAAAGGAAAACATTTCTCCCTCCTCTCCCCGAGTCATTGCACCGTTCTGTCGCTTTTTCTCCTAGAAAACAATGAGGCTGTGTTTGCAGACACACACACACACACCACACCCCTTTTCCCGTGGGAGAGTTTTCCTATTTTTCCTCTCTGTCTCACTGACCTCGCACGTTTCGTCTGATACTGCCTTTAATCTGAAGAGAGGGTTTATTGAAGCTCCACAGCTGCAGATATGCTGGTGATATTGTGGCTGCATCAGGTGGTTAGAACTTGTGACTTTTAGGTTGAAGGACAGTGTGGCCAATCACAGCTGCTCTCAAGCAGGTACCACCCCCCCCCACCCACCACCACCCTCATGTTTGCCCTCTTTAACAATCTCAATAGCATCTCTGCCTGCCGACAAGTTGGTTCCTTCACTGTGATTCATCGACCTAATCTCAGCTCTTCCAGATGCCCCCCCACACACGCCCCCACACACACACGCCCCCACACACACACGCACGCGAAACAAGGGATCATCTAAAGCAGTCTTTTGTCCTTTAAATGTCACAGTAATACTATAATTAGTCTTTTTAACTACTTGCCTTCTGTGAGTTTACCTTTCAAATGTGTCTCTAAATTTTGTCTCTTAAATTTGATTTACTTGGGACATGAAATGTTGTCTATAATTGTATTCATCCTATTTTAACTCACCTGGTTCTTATATGTATATTGTTTACTTTTAACATCGTACTAAAACGTTTTACCTTGTATGTGAAGCACCTTGTGATTAAAGTGTGCGACTGAATACTTTATTTTCTGACTACTGTTTAATTTGTGTAAACATTTTAGTCGTTTCGAGGTATAAAATGAGCATTGACGTATGAGGCAGAGAGTTGTTACTCGTCTTGTTTTTTTTGGGAGAAGTTAACAATGCCATGCCATCACTTTGTTCTGAATGCCGTCCTTTGTCCTCGAGGAGCTTCTGTACCGTACAAATATCCGGCTCTGCAGAGTTCTTATGGACTCGTCGACACAAACATTTGCCCACAGCGTCGTGCGTCATGCACACATTTACCGTGTTGATATATGTGGATGAAATATGTAGCAGTGTGTGAACACTACAGTGTTTTTGTGTGTGTTTGTGCACGAGTGCATATTCAGTGCCCTGCGGGTCTCTGTTGGCAAAACCCTGTGCTGTGTGCAGACGGTGCCAAATCAAATACGGGCACACACGCTGCTACTGTAAGAACTTCTTGTTGTGTCTGAACTGAACCCAATGGAGGCCGACACCTCGGCCGCGATGCGTGTGTGCGTGTGTGTGGCGCCAAAATGTCCTTCGAACAAACGTGGCTTGTTCAAGAATGGAAACACAACATCCAGTCTGATGCCAAGAGCGATGTCAGATAAGCTGATGTACATCCGACTACAGAATATGCAATCCAGTGATATTTAGTGACACAGAATCAGTCTGCCTGTACCTTTAAATAAACTAGAGTTACCGCCTTGTTATCACTTTATCCTATTACACATTGGTGTGAAAATAAAGATGTCCTCCAATAATAAAGAATACACCTTACGGTCCCACGGTTTGTTTAAATCTTTCTTTAGCTTGCAGAGAACGTCCCTCTGACGGGTCTCTTACCACTCGCAGCAGCCTCCTCTGCTCCTTGAAGGTGGCGCAGCAGCCCAGCACCCCCGTGACCATCACGATGGCTCCAGCCAGGACCAGGATGTAGGCGGAGGCGGCGTAGGTCTTGGAGGAGAGAAGGCTGATGTAGTCGCTCTTCTCGACCAAGGTCCAAACGCCCACCGCCATCACGCCGCCGCCTGCCAACTGGGAGGAGAAGAGCACGTGATTAAAGAAACAAAAGACGAGACTCAGGAGGAAACCAAAGCTGAGAGTGACAAAGAGGTTTGAAGTATTCAAAGTGACGAAGGAGGAAAAATGAATGCAGGTCAATGGTTCAATGTGAGCTGCAGCAATTAGTCAATTGACAAATGTACCTACTAATATGATGTTTGTCAAAATGTCAAACATTCTCTGGTTTCAGCTTCTCTAGTGAGAGGATTTGCTGCTTCTCTTTGTTAAATATGTTCGTAATAAATATAATGTCTGTGAGTTCAGGACAAATAAAACCAATCCAAGATGTCATCGTGGGCTCCAACACATTTTAAAAAGCATTTCTTCCTTTTCTCACTTATTTGTATTCTGGAACGCCACATTCCTGATACTGGAACGTTTTTGGGGGGGAATAAATGCTTTGAATGCGTCTTCTGTGTCCTCTGTAAAAGTATGCAACAGCAGCAGGCATTCATCTGCTGGCTGAATGGAACTCTGTTGGAGAGCTTCATCTGCTATTTATGCCATGAAGAAAGCTAAATAATGAAGTCAATACGAGGGCATTTTCTGTGCATGTGTGCTTGTTGTAAAGGAAAAACATCATTTCTTCTCCTCAAAACACGGTACGTTTGACCGGCCTGAGGGTTTGTTTATCTGACTTCTTCTTCAGCCTTGCTGTGCACCAAGATCTCCTCCACCAACTTGATGAGTAAAACGTTATTATAACAGATAATGTAAGACATGCAGGTGCTTGAGAAGCACTTCAGACCGACACAAACACTTTGGCGATGAAATCCTTTGTGCGATATAAACGGTGCCAGAGTGGAAACTTACCCAAAAGAGGAAGTTGAACGTGAACAGGAGGTATTTCAGGCAGACGGTTCCGCACTTTTCCTTTTTCTCCTCGTAGACCCCCATGCTGCAAGAGACGGCAGATCTCAGGTCAGATATGACAATAACAAACAGTAGGAGACAACGCTTCTGATTTTCAGGTGATTATACAAAATGCTTATTAATACTGTATTCCATTTCTGCCGGTAGATTCCATTTCTCCCCTGGGGGCCTTTCATTGGCAGCCCACTGCTCCCTATATACATGTGTATATGACAATAAAATGGTTTCTGGACACAGAATTAGAGCTTGAAATTAAAGCCAACCTTCCTTTTTATGGTGACTTGCTTTTAAAGAATGAGGCCGATGCAGTACACGGGGGAGTGCGCTTTAGATCAGCAGTGTAGGCACAACCAGTGAGCCGAGTTATTACATGTGTATGCAGAGAGATCCGTGACTAAGCACTGAGTGGGAGCTCAGAGTCGGGCCCAAGGCTGGAAATTAGAACCGCCCGCTTCGCTCGCCGCCCAGTACCAACGTCCAACGCTTCCAGAGGCCAAAAAACATCTTCTTAGAACGGAACAATTCATATTTCAAAAACAGATTGGAGCTCATCCCAACAATCTCTGTACTTAAGACTGCAGTAGTTGACACTGTGTCATCACCACAACAATGGAGAACACAACACCAGTTTGAGGTTTGAAGGTCCCATCATAGAACACTCGCTGCCTTCATGGAACAATCTTTGCTCCCAAAGTCTCACATCTTTTCTCTTTAAACCCACAATTTTCTTGGCTCACTTGCTCCGTCAAGCCCAGACTCGCCCTCCGCTGACTGCCTCTTTCTCAAACTCTTCTTCTCCTCCTCATGACTCCCCCCCCCCCACCACCACCATGTCTTCCACTCAGATGAGTGCCCTGCATGAGTGAGTGGGTCCGTCTGGACTCTGTCTGGTGACCATCTGTCAGAGCGGGAACACTTAGTGTGACCTTGTTAATTAAATTCAAACAACACCTCACAGACAAAAACTCCTTATTTTGCTGTTTGGAGATGGAAAGAAAACAGCTGAGTCAAGAGAAACACGACAGGAAGAAGTAAACACGACCAGACAACGCTGTGGCAGAGACCTGTCAATCACTGTAAGCCCCGCCCTAAAGCATCCCCTGCTTTATGGTCTGTTTGACTCTAAATGGAGCATAATGTACTAAATGAACATCATGCTGTATTGAAGAAGACTTGAAACTAGAGATTGAGACCATAAACTCATGTTTACAATGTTTACTGAGGTAATAAATCAAGAGAGAAGTACAGTCATTTTCTCATAGACTTCTATACAACCAGAGGAGTCGCCCCCTGGTGGACACTAGAGAGAATGCAGCTTTAAGACACTATCTCTGTGTCTCTCATTAGCTTTAGATTATACCAGGATGTGATATCATTGCTCAAATGCACATTAAGCAAGACTGTTGCCCTGTTAGCAGAGATACGTATGACACCCGTCTGACACACTCAGCATGAATCAGATAATGACCGTCTCGTTTACCCGAAGAGATTACGGTGGTGAAATACTGGAACAGGTCTAGAAAAGGATAATTTACCTGTAAACGCATATAATTAAGTGTCACAGACGTTGCAGGTTTAGTGAAGGTTGAAGGTTATTTGAGGCATGTTGGGGAGGGGATGCTAAATTACTGTATTTCTGAGACCAACCCACCAGCTGTTAAATTATCAACAAAACCTTTAAGTTGTCATTGTTAGTTCTACCTGTTACAAGAAATGATGAATAAGTAATTAGTTAGATTAAATGTAAAATAAAACCAGAAGCAGTGCACTGATGCTTGTACCATTTCTTTTTTGTATCGTTATTTGTAAATCAGGATGCTGCAAATTAATTGGCATCTATTTTGATGATTGATGACATGTTCTGAGTCTAGTTCTAGCTTCTGCAATGTGATTAATTGCTGTTTTAAACTCAATACTTGGTGTTTCATATGATCTTGGACTCTGGGAAACTGTGATGGACATTTCTTTACAGTCTCCTTCCATTTTATAAACAAATCGATATATATATATATATATATATCTTCACACTACAGGAAAATCCCATTGGTTCTCAAATTCAGTATTTAAACTTGACTGTCATCACATCAGACTTTAAACAATGTCTACGGTACTCCACACAGTCAGTAAGCAGCTATAGAGACACAACTCTTAACACTTTATTTGAATACTACTTCACTACTTTACAACTGGATTATCCGATTTGCCAAATGTCATCTCTGCATTGATGTTTTGGGGGAAATGGGGTGTTGGAAATCCAGAAACAAAAGAAAAGTACAATTTCACGTCTGAGCTATGGACATTTGATTTGAAAACATCTTTTGTTAATGTATTCTTTAGTTGAGGTGTGAGACACAGATCCTGATTCAAATACACTCCTCGTCCATTAAATTAGCAGACAAAGAGCCAAATAAAGTACTTTATGATATTTCCTGTGTGACAGTTTATCCCAAAATCACAAATACACATGTTCGCTCTTACCTGCCGTGTTATATTCTTCATCTAGTTTGTTTTGGTGCAGATATTGGACGTAGAGCTGCTTGCTTTGTGTCGATTATAATGGGAATATGCAGCTTGTGGTGCACACAAATGCAAATAAATACATTTTAAAAACTCAACAGGAATGTCTCTTTTCCAGAAATCATAAACCTCCGAGGTCTGTGGGATAACTTGAGTAACCGGGTATATTTCAGGGGGGTTAACTCACACTAAAAACAATCTAGATTGATAATAATATAATAATTAGCACCACAGTTAGGAGGAAAAACATGTATTTGAGATGTTGGTGTCCCTTTAAAGAACTAATTTCTACATAATATTGCTGTAAAAACTACTTTTATACAGTCAAACAATATGTGTGTATTTTCAGATTCATACAGCCACTCTCATTATCAAGAGAAACTGGTGTTTCTCTGATTTAAATGACTCATCTCTGAATCCTTATTAAACACACCGGAGACATTCATCAACTGAAGTTAGCTCGTTAGCACTGAGCTAAACGTCACCGTCACCAGCCGTGCGTAGAACCGCTGGGAACCAGTTACCGTGCTCTTGTGGTTCTTAGTAACTATAGTTAGAGCTCACGGTAACATCTGTAGACACAGTGTTAATAACCTCCGTCGTGCTTTAAATCACCATCACCGTGTGAGCTAACGCTAAAGTTACACGTCTGTGTTGTGTAAAAACACGTGTTGTATTGAGATTAGATGCTTTTAAGAGACGGCAACATGCGGATGAAACCCTGTTTGATGGACGAGGTTGAGTAGAAAGCTGCTAAATGTTCCGTCTGTGTCGTAAAAAAAAGACTTCCTTGTCTGGTCGATGCTACACTGCAGTGTGTGCGTGCGTGCGTGCGTGTGTGTGTGTGTGTGTGTGGATAGCTAACAACTCTTACCTGCCCCTGTTTGTTTGATCTGGTATCGATGTATTTATTTAAGAATAAGCGATGATATGCGATGGGATATTCCTTAAAAACCGCCTGTTTTCATTCCACCTTCCTCGGTTGAAGTGGTGCGTTCAGGTTCCGTACAGACTGAGAGGAGCTGACTCCGCCCTGGGCCACCTTAAGTGGGGCTTGGTGTGGTTTTTTGTTTTTTCTGTCCCGGGGCAACGCTTATGTGTGTGTGTGTGTGTGTGTATGGAAGAACATTACTGCCACTGTGAGGACAAAATAAAGGTCCTGTAAGTCATTATCATGAGATAATAAGTCACAATGACTTACTATCTCATTATAACGATGAGATAGTAAGTCATAATCATGAGATAGTATAATCATAATAGACTTACTATCTCATAATTATGACATAATAATTGTAGTCGACAGTGGAGAATAATGAGCAACATCTCTTTTCTTTTTATTTTATTATTTATGTAAACATTCAATGGAACACTTCACTGAACCAAACAGCCTTTAATGATACTTTACTGCTACTATACCTGCTGGATCAGCCTGGTGACCCATATTATGGACTGTTGTGTAATAAGACCGATAACACATTGACAGAGGCTCCTTCATTTCGTATTCTCAAACATAAGAATTCATTTAATTACTAAAAAAACAACTGATACTGACTTGTCTACTTGTATTAACAACTGGTTTAAGTGAGTACCTGCCCTGCAGCTATGAATCACCGTCAGGTGAGTTTTATATCACGAGTCTCAACTGAGCCTGAAGGGGTGAACAAACATTTGACCTACTTCTCTGCGCAGGTAACTAGTTTAGCATTGTTGTGTGTGTGTGTGTGTGTGTGTGTGTGTGCGTGTGTGTATGGTAATACACACTCACCACTAGATGACAGTGTTTTTCTTTAACTCTGGCTCGACTCCAGATATCCTTCCCAGAAGCATTACCGTAGAATCCTGAATGGCAATGTGACTGAAAAAGCTCAGACAGCATCCATTAATAATTTTCATACATATACAGCCTTGACCTGTTGTCCTTTGTAATAAATGTCACTCCACGGAGAATCAAAATCAATAAATCAATAAAAAACAAAGATTAAACAGAGTACCACAAAATGGATTTTCACAACATTATTAGTTTTGAGCATTTATTCTGTTTTTTCAAGAAGAAAAGAAAAACGTCTCAGCATGTTAGGGTAAGTACAGGGTTCAGGAAATGAAAATAAGCAGCACATGCAAGAGTAGGAAATTCAAGTCACAATAAAATGAAAAGAAAACATGTCGGGAATGTTTGGCTGTGCTTGTAATTTAAACAGGAACTCCATCTATCTTTACTTACAGGTCCACAAAATGGCACAGGCTCATATGCAACTTTGCAACTTATATGAAATGGTTAAATGGACTCCACTGTGTTTACGGAGAAGAAGAAAAAACATTTGTTAATTTGAATTGCAAAAGCTTTCCTGGATAAATTACCGCAGTTCATACCCAGTAGGTGTATCACTCCAGCAGCTACAACACTGCATCATCAGGGTAAATCTGCCTTTTACTTTCACGCCCCGCAAACTTTGAACGAGCTGCAACTTAAAATCTTTAAAGGTCCCATATTTAAAAAGTGAGATTTTCATGTTTTTCATTATTTAAAAAATATATATTATTATGGAGGGATCTCTCCTCTGTTGCTCTCCCTAAGGTTTCTTCCTCTTTTTCTCTCCCTGTTAAAGGTTTTTATTTTATTTGTTTTACCAATTCAATAACTCACCACAAAAAAAATCTTGTGCCTGCCTATTAGAGATGTGTGTGTGTGTGTGTGTGTGTGTGTGTGTGTGTGTGCGTGTGTGTGTGTGTGTGGGGGGGGGGGATAAAGCCTGTTACCAGGAAAGACACAAGCTGTCAGTCTTGATTTGTTTGTGACTGCCTGCATCCTTTAGACCGATGCTACTCCAGCCTCAAACAGGTACGCACACTTTTGTTGTTTCTGCAGCCGTTTGATGGTCGTAGCTGATATTCTGAAATAGTTAAAGGATGTATTGATCACTTCTGTGTCAAGCAACGAGCTGTTTGGGAGTTTTCTAAGAAGATTAAATGGCACTAAGGACTACAAGACGGGAGCATGTGAACAACAACAACGAAAGCCTTTTAAATGAAACCACCACTCTTCTCTATGGAAGAGGGAGCAGAAAGTGATGACTTTGTCTCTGTGTGTATCCATAGCACTCTTAAACCAGAACAAGATGTTTCCCCTTTAAAACGTATGTCACTTAATCCTTAATTGCTTATGTAAAGCTTATGTAAGGCAGCAGCGGAACTATTTTCTCTTGGTTTATATGCACTGGTTGTCCAGGAGCTGGTAGTTCTGCTGACCCACAATCTCAGTGGGACAGCTTCTATAAATAAGTAGTCCTCCGGTCGACGCGCCGGTCTTCAGAAGTAGTCCTAATCTTTGTCACACCTGCCACGGCCCTGCCAAGCTATAAATACGGGGATCATAAGAGGATCCACCTGGTATCCATGTTGGATAGTCATCCGGGCTCACAAGATGTAGCCAGGGCACAGATTTACAGTACCCATGAACTAATACTCCAAGTGGCAACAACAGCAGTGGAAGGAGGACCTGTCTTCTTCTTAATTCTTCTTTACAATTGTCTTTTTTTAAATGAAATGGATGAGAAGTAAACTGAAGGAACACCTCAGGATTTGTTCCTTTTCTGTATTTCTGGGACATCCTCAGATGAGAAGAGAGAGAAGCTGCCTTTCTACTTCACGGTAAACTGTAATTTAATGTTTAAATGTCCTGGTGTAGTACACAGCTGTAATTTAATCTAAATGTTTTGTATTGTTAGCTGTAATTTAAAGTAATCTTAATCAGGGTTGGGGCTTGTCTTGAAGGTTTGATGGTCTTGAGTCATGATTTCTGGAAAGAGACATCGCTGTTGAGTTCTTCAAACTTATTTTTCCTATTTTGTTTTCTGTGGTCATTGGACTGATCTAGAGGTTTGATGACGACAGGCCTTTAGGGGCAGAGGGGGGCTATATTTCTGGGGTTGTGGTGTAGCCAAGATTTCCTTTTCAGTGCGCTGCTCGTTGTTTACTCTCCAATTTGAGAGCAGCTTGAGATGCAAGACTGGGGTTGGAGCTGAGAGACGAGTAGCCAGTTTACAAACTGATTTTAAATCACTGAAAAGCTGAATCATCGTCATCATCAATTACGTCTCTTTTGCTCTCCACTCGTGCTGTTCAGCTGCATTAAACCAAAGCCTGTTCCAATGAGATTTGTCAATACTACTTGGACTACAAACGGAATCCAGAGCACCTCTGATACCAAAATCTTGTCCCTTTGACGAAATTATCATTCGACTGGTACAAAAGAAAATTGTTGCAGTGGGACTGTAAAGTGTTGTCGCAGCTCGCCTTGGAAGAGAGTGGATGCAGCTCCGGAGACGGATGGCTGGCTAGTTAGCTCAGTAGCTTGTCCTCCAGAGCGGCGGGGAGTGAGATGGAGGCCTGTTCGGCTCATTTTCTGTAACACTAAACGCTTTTCTGTAACGCTCATTTTCAGTGTAGCACTAAAACATGTTGTAGCTAACTAGCCAGCTGCCCGCTAGTTAGCTTGATACTTCCACCATGCTTTAATGCTACACCGGTTACAGAAAATGATCCGAACAAAGTTGTCACAGAAGTTAGCTGGCTACAATTTTAGGATTTTACTGATCACTTTTAAAGCACGTATGGGTTTGGCCCCAACATATATAGAGGAGATGTTGAACCCCTATGAGCCAGCTCACAGCCTAAGATCCTCAGGTTTTTTTATTTATTTTTATCATATCAACTGTCTCACTGAGCTTTCTGTTGTTGTTATTATTGTCTTGCTTTTGCTGCTTTGTCTGTCAAAGCACTTTGTAAACTCTGTTTTTAAAGGTGCTATATAAATAAAGCAATGGCAATGGTACACATAAAAATGGCCGCCGCGCTGATTGTCCGTCTGCATTGATTTGAAAGGGAATCCAACTCTTAATTTATGATAATGTGTCTGGTTATGTTTGGTAGGAAATATAACATCTGTTTTTTCCCCAAGTCTCTGCTTTAAGTGAATGTAAATCTGCAACACAATGAGTTTCACTGTTTTTCAGCAGAATACTAACGTCTGTCTCGTCTCTTCCCACAGAGCCTCTGCTGGATTTACTCGGGTGCTGATGTTTCACCAGTTTTAAATATGAAGGTTCAAGGAAACCTGGAAACACCATAGACTGAACCGCCTGAATCTGTTCATGTTGGAGCCGTAAAAATCAACACATCTGACATGTTGACATGTGTGAGTTCCACGCAGCTCATCACAACACCCGACTCCGTTTCCCGCTTTGAAAGGACTTCAGTTCTTCCCCAGTAAACAGGACTCATTCTTACCAAACAGCAAATGGAGCCCTACTGCTGTATCAAGTGTGGAGCCACTTGAAGGCCTCGCTGAGACCCCCAAACGGTCAGGGCTGTCGTGAGTGGATTTATGTTTCTATGTAGCGTGTGTGCGAGTGCAGTGCAGTCTTGGATCCAGCGTGGAACCCCCACAGTCCGCCCGGGCGCCCAGCCTTCGGGCCGGAGACGCTCCAAACGAGCAACTACTCTCTGGTGTTGCTGATTCAGCTCAGCCTGCTCTCCTTCGACCTGTTCGTCAACTCCTTCAGCGAGCTGCTGAGGCACGAACCGGCTGTCCAGCTGGTACTTTTCATGTAAGTTCCTCACAGTTTTCATCAGCCAAACATAGTCTCTGGCTCCAGTGGGGGGAAAAAAACCTAAAGATAGTTCAGATGCTGGACTGATTTGAATCAGCGTTGTACAAAGACAGTAATCTTTCTGTTCCCGTCCCTTTTCTTTCTGCTGGTCTCACATCCTGCTTCTCTCTTGTCTTTTCTTTTTTTTCCTGTATGCTCTTCCTCAACAGAATCCAGGACATTGGCATCCTGTTCAACCTGATCATCATTCTGTTGATGCTGTTTAACACCTACGTGTTCCAGATCGGCCTGGTCGCCATATTGCTGGAGCGGTTTAGAGCTGCGCTAATGCTCTCTGCTCTCTATCTGACCTTCAGTATCATACTCCACTCCTGGCTTATGGTACGAGCTGTTTGTGCACAAATGTGCAGAGATAGATTAAGATCCAAGGCTCGTGGTTACACTCAGTCTTTGTCAACGCAACCTTTGTCATTTCGGTCACGCCGGGACACGTTTATTTTATTTAAAACCTTGGAAAACACATGGAGGGAGGATCCTTATTGTCAATAGTGGAGAGACGACTAAAGTAATATAGAAATGATATAAGAATGCATGGCTTTATTAATTAAAACAGAAAAAAAATAATAGCATTGACAGTTACAAACTAAGAGCAGCAATTAAACCTTGGCCTTGTGTCATTAACGAGGTCTACTCAAAGTTTTGTTGAAGTATAGTCCACGTATGTGGGGCACGGTAACAAAAAGCAGCTCTATAACTGCAGGATGACCATGTCTGTGAGCAGGAGTCCAACATTTTAAGAATGCAGAGCTGAGAAACGGAGGGGAAGCCTTTTGTAAAATAGCTTTACAAATAAATAGGTATTTTGGTAAAGTAGGCAGTGCTGTGTGTGTGTGTGTGTGTGTGTGTGTGTGTGTGTGTGTGTGTGTCCTGTAACAATCCACACTGATGAATCTTAAGGCGGAGTGATTTACTGCATCTAAGGGTCTGAGAGTGGAACTGTCCGCCCATGAATAACAACCCCGTCGTCCAGTACAGAGAGGAAAACAGGTATTTTTCTCGTTAATAATGGAAAGCAAGATTCAATTCTAAAAATAAAGCCAGACTTCAATCTCAGCTCTGCTAACCACATGTCAATATGGACTATGATAGAAAGGTTATCAACCGAAATGCACATTTTGTAATGTTGCGCTCTCTCTGTTATGGTGTAATTGGCAGAACGAATTTCAGAACTTGCAGTCTGTATTTCTTGTATTTGAAAACAACATCAACGTAGTCTTTGTACAGGTTAGGACCAGTTTCAAATGATGGAGGTGTTTTTTGGAGGAGGTTAAATGATAGCTGTAGATTTAAAGTGGGATCCGATCACCCAGACCACATACCGAGGTGGCCAGAGTTCGGATCTCAGTGAGATGTGGACAGAATGTGGGCACAATTTATCAAACATAGGTCTCGAGCCAAACTACTTAGCATGCCAGGAACATATTTCGTTTGTCCCAAATACATAGTAGGCTATGCCAAAATGATGTTGTACTACATCCGGTCGCATTTTACAGTGTGCAAGCCAGAATGCCTTTCTGGCTATTCTGACCCACAATGGTGTGCGAGTATAAATGAGCAAGAGGGTCTCAGTTGCATAGTACGTACTTTGTAAAGGCAGCTGCAGTGTGTACGAGAAGTAAAGAGCAAAAGTGTGTCATTTGGAAAGCAGTGCAGCTGTCTGAGTCGTGTTTAGTTAACTGCTGATGAAAACCCACCATTTTCAGATTTTGCTGCTTCAAACAATAATCTTTTAAATTACAAAAGAATTTCAATTAAATATTAAAATAAATGCGTTTATCACCAAATTAGGTGGAGCTTTGTTGGTGGCTATTCTTCAATAAAACAAGTCTACGAATACAGAAGGGAGGAAGAGAAAGCAGACAAAATAACGGGGCACTTTTATGGTGAAGAATTTATAGGAAATGAAAAGTGTTTATCCACCGTTTTATAGCCGCTCTTTTGCCCATGATGTATACATATATATATATATATATATATATATATATATATATATA